AATAATTAATAGATTATAAATATAGGGTTAAGGTTTAATTTTAATAATTAAGTTTTATGAAAATAGCATCTAACACTGATAAGTTTAGAAGGGTACAAAATTATATATATCCCTTGTAAAAAGAAGCAATTTTTCCACTTCCATCAGTTATCCAAGACAACCGTTACTTTTACATTTCATGGGGCCCACATTTATTCACATATATTCTCTTTATCTTTAATCTCTCCTCTCTCCCATTGCTGTTGCTTCTTTTCCATCTTCCATGGTTGCTCCTCACATGTGTCTCTCAAACTCAATCGAATCATTAAAATAGAAGAAGAAGTTGATAAACACAAATGCCTCTTATTCAACCTGCTCCCCAAGTAATCCAAACCCATAGAGAGAGATCATAGAGAGGGGAAATCAGAGGAAGTAGCAGACGTTGCATAGCTCCCCTGGAGCTGAAATCTCCAAGCTCCGGCGCAGCCGCCACCTTGAGACCAGTAGCTTATGGTCCTACTACACGAACACCTAGCACAACCTGCACCATCGAATTGAAGCTTTTGGAAGCTGTATTTGTTTGTTTATGGCTCAATGTATTGCCATCGGCCCAACGATGGTTCCGCCGCTCAATGGCCCATGCCACTCCCCTACTCCCTTCTTGCCAGTTTCAGATCACGGCTTCTTTTTCTAAATTTAATTTTGATTTATTTACTTTTTGTCAAATGTGGATCTAAATGTGTGGATGCTGGATGTGAAAATTTTTCATTTGATAGTGTTAATTGGCGTGAGGGATGAAGTGGAGGGAGGAAGCTCTTTCTACGGTTTTTTTGGAGAGAGAAAGGAAAAGGTGAGGAAAGAGAAGAGAGATGAAGGGAAAGAGAAGAGACAAGGACAAGTTTGGGGGTACCAAACTAAGAAAATAACAGGGGTCCGGATTGTCTCAGCGGCGCGTCCCTCAGCGTCCCAATATCTACCATCAGATTAATCTAAAAGCTCACAATATACCACATCATCAGGCTATTAAAAATTAAAAAAAATTTAATTAATGCTATAAAATTGCTTTTTTTTAAAAAAAGAAATAGTTTTTTGAAAAAAGAAATTTGAGTGCACCACCTAATTTCTTAGATCTATTTGTTTTAACTGAAGAGTTTAATAAGAGTTCAAATTAATATAAATTGAGTAAGATGGGATCATAAAAAGAGGTAGAGTTCTGCCATCAAGTATTTTAATTAAAAATTTTAAAAAATAAAATATTTGATATAGTTTTGCCACTCTTTAAAGTTCTGTCTAACTCAATCTGTATTATATTGAATTTAGATAAATCTTCCAGTTTAAGATCAATAAATCCAAAAAATTATATATAAATATATGATGGTTAAGTTTTTTTTATTCTTTATGATTATCTGAATAAGTCTGGAGTCGAAACATTTCATAAATTTTTTAACTAAAATAAGTCTGGTGAAAAAAATTGGATATTTCATGCTAAAAATATCCTAGTTGAAATCTAGTAAAAAATTCTACACTATATTTAAGATTTATTTCTAATTTTTAATAGCACCATGATGTGGCATAATACGATCCGCGTTAGATTCATTTTAACGGCTGCGATTTGGATGCTAAGGGACGCTGAGAGAAGAGGACGCTGAGAGTATCCTCTTCCAAATAACAGACGTTAACCGTTGTGGGAAATTTTCTCCATTTTATAAAAATTATGTCTAGTTTTACATCCTTCAAAATTTATTGGTGTTAGATGCTCTTCTCACAAAACTTAATTATTAAAATTACACCTTAACCCATAAATATATGCAATAATATTTATAATTATGAAAACTATAAAGACCAAATAAAAAATTACTAGAATCTAATTAAAAATAAAGTAAAACTATAAAGATTTACGCAATAGTTTTTCTTATAACCTTCACCCAAAGAAATATTCATGCATTTGTTTATAGAATATGGTTAATACAAACTTTATCTCTTAAATTTATTTTCATTTTAATTTTGGTTCTTTAAATTTTAAACAACAGGTTTTGGTCTCTCAAAATTTTTTTTATGAGTAAAGTACATTGATTACCCCTCTATTTTACTTAAATTACAGAAACGTCCCTTCTATTTTGAAAATATATATAAACTTCTTTTCAAATTAAAATGTATATTACACAAACCTCCTTTATAGTTTTAAGATTCAATTTCCATCCATCCAACTGTTAGTTGACCGTTAAATTTGACCTTTAAATTTTTATTTTGACCAAAATATCCCTCTTTAACATAAATGTTATTTAAACATTTATATCTATAAGAAAATAATTTTTGACACAACAAAAAATAATTATAATACATGTATTTTCAAAATTTTTAATATGTTATAAAAATTTTAATTTCAATTATATTATAGAATTATATAATTTTAATTCCTCATGAAATATTGAAACTTAAGATTTTTTTTAAATGGCTAGAAAATATTTTTAATGCTTATTTTCTTGTCACATAATATAAATTATGCGAGCTTGGAAACTTATATAAATCATTTAAATTTATATTTGCATTAACTAAATTACTTAATTTTTTGGCCCAATACAATAAAAACATTAACCAAACAACAATTTTAAAAAATAAAAAAAATAAAATTAAAGTAGAGGAGAAAATCTTAAATTCTTCGATATAGTTTTAACCAAGATTTTGGGATTTAGTATTATGAAGGGTAATTTAGAAAATAGAAAGTATTTCAATATTTGAATTAAAAATATATCTTTTTGAAATATTCTTAACAGAGTTAACAGTTTGGATTTAAGTGTATATTTTTAAAATAGAGGGGAGGTCTGTGTAATTAAGACAAAATATAAAGGAGGTCAGAGTATTTTACTCTTTTTTATTTATAACATTGGTCCCTATAATCTAATAAAAACTTAAATCATTTTGGCCCTTGAAAGGCCAAAACCTATAGTTTGAATCTTGAGAGAACAAAAACAAAATAAGGACAAATTTAAAGGACCAAAAATTATATTAATCTTATAGAATCTATAGGATATGTAGAAAGTTACATAATGTAAACAATGTAATGTAAACAATGCAGCTCTACTAGACCTGGTTTCTCTCCCCGGGAGTTCTAGACTATTTATATCAAATTTAATAGTCTAAAAGTAACTTTTATGATTAATCAAATTTAAAACATAAAATTCCTTTTCATGACCCACAATGTGGGGATCTCTCTTCCTTTTTTTTTTCCAAGTATAAGTATTTTTTTATTGGAGACAATCATTTTTAAGGTACTGTCAAGCACTAAATGTTGATATTCTCTTAATGGGGGTTTAAATTTTAATTTGTCATGTTGTGAGGGACTAACCCTTTCCACTAGTAAAGAAAATTCACTTCCAAGTCAGTATTGGGCTTTATGCTTCTGCAGGAGGCCCAACTTTTAACCAACCCGATAGCGAACAAAACTTTGTGCCTCGTTATCAGAACTCAAATTTAAAAAAAACGGCTTTTTAAGATGCCTGATTTTTAAAAGCCCATCCAACAAAGAAATTTGTCATATTTCTAAGACGGCATTCAAATTTGTCATAATTTTTTTTTTTTGACATTATAAACCAAATGTGAATTCAGATTCGTTGCGCTGGGCGGTTTGTGAACTCGCCTAAATCCAATATTTTGGAAAATAGTCACTTTATTATTCTTTTAGAAAAAAATAATGTCAAATGGCGTTGCCTTAAATAATCAAGAAAGTTTTTTTAAAAACAAATTTATCTTGAAAGTTTGAAATCGTAATAATATTGTCCTTTACCGTTAAAAAATTTACATTGACCGTAAAAGATAATATTGTTACAATTTTATACTTCTATGACAAATTAGTTCCTAAAAAAACTTTCAAATACCTAATGCTTATGAGTAAAAATCTCTGAAGCAAATTTGCACTTTAACTTAAGAGAAAAAATTACGACATGGGATAAACTCAAGGTGTTGAACAACACAATGAGTCATTGAATCCCCGATTTAAGAGTTAATTATCTAATTACGATTGAACCAAATCAATCTTAACCATAATTAAAATATAAGTTATTTATATATAACCTGAAAAATATAATATTTAAATAAAAATATTAATTAATCCACTAATAAATGTGACATTCATATTTAAACAACACATAATCTAATAACGCAAAATTATTAAAATACAACTATGACAAATTACAATTTTTTTCTACTTTTTGGGGCTCAAAACTAAGTTATTTATGTTCAACAAGGAGAAAAAAGTAAAACCAAACCCGACCAATTTCTCCAAAAATTTTGATAGGTTCACCGATTTGCTAATATGAATGACGAACTTGGATTGGGTTGAATACCATGAATGAAATTAACGGTTTTTTTTTCCCTTCTTTTGCCAACTACTAAACTAAATGTTTTTTTATTCATACTTTTCGTTGGATCCATATAACAATGCCATTGTTTAATTTCTTCGGCCACACATATATACCAATATTTCAATTTGATCTTATCCTTATTATTTAATCACCTACGCGTGGACCTTGCCTTGTTGGAAACTTTGGAATACTAGGAAAATAATCCAAAACCAAATAGACTATATAATCCATAGAAATAATGCAACTCCCTTTTTCTCTAAAACAAGAAAAATATTACTGTGGATGGTCTGGTTTCGTTTGTTTTAATCCGTGACCTATATATAACATTGAATATTCCAAACCAAATGGAACATTCTAGTCATGGGTCAACCCCTGGTTCTCAATCGATATCTATCTAGTCTATTAATAAGGTTATAATATTATTCTTTTCCACATCATCAAAAGACAACACGAAATACTAAAACAAGAGGCAAAGCCCATTGTTTTGTGAAAAGTCAAATTCTTTCTTCTTTCTCTAACCCGCATAGCCCACAGTAAACAGCATATTGCTTGAAATATCAACCGGGCTAAATCCGCTTGCAATGATACGCTACAAAATTCTAAGTTAACGAACCCTATATATATATACACACGCTTGAGCACACAGAAATCTGAGATCGTGAAAGAGAAGAATAAAAAGATATAGTAATCGACCATCCTCTCGGCTTCTACAAGATTACCTTTTTGGTAGTTCATATATCATTTTTGGTCAAATGGGGCGTTGGATGAAACCTGAGGTACTTAACCTAACCTCTCTCTTAATCATTAATTAGATTCTCTTCTTTCTTTTTTATCCTTATTAATGGTGTGTAAAGGTTTAAATTTACAATTATTTGTTAATTATATATATTATAATAGATATTCTTTATTCTTAACTGAAAATTTTACTATACATTTTGACCATTTATTACATATTGCGTTACATAGACATCAGAGAAGTTCATGACTTGAAAAAAATAAAAAATAAATCAGACCGTGTTTCGCATAATTCAGCAAAAAATAATTGGATCTTTTCAATAAATTTCATTCATGATTTTATTTGAAATAAAGGAAGAAGAAATATCGAATAATTACAAAATTTATCTATGTCGACTTGTTCTGTAGGTTTACCCTTTGTTGGCTGCGATGACGTTCGTGACGAGCATGTGTGTGTTTCAGCTAACAAGGAACATTTTCTTAAACCCAGACGTTAGGTATATATTTATTGATTATATTCGAATTTCTCCACAGATTTACTTAATAATAATATTAAATCAAACTAATATTTCTTCTTCTTCTTCTTCTTCTGAATTATATTTAGGGTTAACAAAGCTCATCGGAGCATGGGGGTGTTGGAAAATGCAGAGGAGGGAGAAAGATATGCAGAACATGGCCTGAGGAGGTTCCTCCGAACACGGCCACCGGAGATCATGCCGGCGATCAACCACTTCTTCAGCGAGAAAGACAACTGAGTCAATATACGATCATCCTGTGGATCCAGACACTCACATTTTAATTATAATATCTTGTGTAGAAAACTATATATCAGGTTTTGAGTTCAATCTTTTCGTGTGACTTTAATTTCATCTGGTTTATTATTGTATCGAAATAATTAATTCAGTAGAATATGGAAACGACATTTCGCTTTATGTCGCACAGTTTCATAACATGAATTTGGTGTTTGAGAGTTATTTCGTTGGTTGTAGATTGAAATTATATTCTTATAGGTGAAAATGTAAACGGCAACGACATTTCTTTTCTTTTTTTCTTTTCATAAAAAATTATAAGGAGGATTCAAATTTTGCCCACTATTTTCACGCATATTCCAACTCATTCACGTGTCCTTGGTGGCAAATATAATACTTTTCCCGTCATAAATATAAGACTAATTTTTTAGTGTAATTTATGCTACTGAATCTTACATTTAAGATAGGAGGAGTATTAATTTATTTCTGTTCTACAATAAAAAAAATTAATATATTTTTTGTTTAATATTTTTAACTTAATCTATATAATTTATAATTTTTGAATTAAATCATTATAATTTGCCAATTTAGTATTTGTTGTTGAAACTTTATCAATTTACTTTAAAATTTCAATATTTTGAATATCTATGATACAAACATATATATTAATCAGATATGTAATTTTTTTAAAATTCATGTAAATGGATAATATAATGTACTCCTTCGGTCCTTAATATAAGACCCATTTAACTAATTTGATTAGATTAAGGAAGTTAGGTAAGATAGTTAATTATAAAAAATGTAACACATCTTTCCTAAAACACCATAATCATCTTTCTTAATACCTCCTTTCCTTCTTTTACTTGATTATAGTTGAGGGACTATCTATAGGGGTAATTTAGAGAAAACTGATAAATATGATAAATGGGTCTTATATTTAGGACCAAAACCAACTCAACAATTGGGTCCTATATTAAGGACCGGAGGAGTAATACCCAACACTGCCTCTAATAGGATTGCCTGTAATATGAGAATATATGTGACTAGTAAAAAAAATATTGATCAGATTATAAATTTTTAAATTTAAGAGATCATTTTACCATTGAATAAATCATAAAGAGAAAGAATATAATTTTCTCTAAAAAGTTATGAATTAAAATTTGTATCATAATCAAAATTCAAATAATCGCTGCATCAAGTAGGAAATACTTTTTGCCAACTCAGCTCTTTATCAGATTCTTTAACAATGGTCGGGTCATTACATCAATTCTATAGTTTAAGAAAACTCAATAAACAACTAATTAATTAATTAATGATAACGACAATAAATGGGCTTTCTTCCAGACAGATAATGGTTTATTTGGAAGCTCATTTATTTGAAATTCTTGTTGGGCCTAAAAATAAAGCCCTTACAATATTTCAGCCTTATTTGGAGAAGGACATTTGGGCCATCACAGTTTGGACCATACAACTTAAACCCAAAAGAAATTTAGCCGAACAAAGATAGGCATATTTTTCTGTGTATCATATGAAAACTTGGGGGAAAATTCTTACTATATATAATTTATAAGTAAAATAAATTGTTGGGAAAAAAAATAGGATTACTACAAACTTTGATCCCTCAAGTTTGTCCTCATTTTGGATTTGGTCTATCAAGTTTCAAATCATATGCTTTTATCCCTCAAGTTTTATTTTATTTAAAATATTAGTCCCTATAATCCATTAAAAACTTAGACTATTTTGCCCTTTAAGGGACCAAAACCTATGGTTCGAAACTTGAGGGATTAAAATGAAAAGGAGAGCAAATTTAAGGGACCAAAGATTATATTAATCCATAAGAAAAATAAACTGATATGATTTTATATTTCATACAATATTGATGTTAATATTGAATCGGAGATTTCGATATTAATATGGAGTTGAATTTATTTGTCTACTAAGGAGCTTAAAATTTCCAGTTAGGATAACCAAAAAAAAACATGTTAAAAAAAATTAATTAGACCACAAGGATGCAAAGGAATACACTAAATATGATTTAAGCAAATTTAATTTCAATTTTTCATTTTAAATTGTGATCTTTATCTATTAATCTATCATATGAACTTTTTAATCTATTTTTCTTGTTCTAAATGTAAAACTCTTATAAAATGAGCCTTACATTTAGAATTGAAGGAGTATAATCAACAAATCTAATCATTCTTTTTTCGTTTAGTGTTACATCAGGAGATTTTAAATGTTGGACATTTTCTCACATTTCTGTAAGTTAAATAATTATATTAGTGCGAGTCACGGCTCTGAATAGTATTTTACTTTGATATCTATTCGCCTTGAGTTGGGCTCCATTTGCGTCAAGGTCTTATTTTATGTGTTTTATTATTTCTTTGGTTCTTTTGTTAAACATTGAATTATTCATTTCTAGAAGTTCAGGATTTTCGTTTTTAATAAAAAAACATCATTATGTTTTAAATTATCAATTCAACTACATTTTTCATTATTCTACAATTTAGTTTCCTCAAATGAAAGGGAAAAATGATGGGAATTGTTCATAATAAGAACATTTATCTATTTTTCTATGAGTATCATCCAAAGCACTAAAACTAGATAAGAATGATGTCAATATGATAACTCTGTGTGTGTGTGTGAGTATATATACCTTCGGAATCACTAATCAATAATTAATAATTTATGATGCCGCGTAGTGCTCCCCATGTTTTCCGGTGCCAATGATGGCCTGCAAGAAAAGACTGTTATATTAAATTTCAAGTGGAACTAATCACAGGGAATGAAAAAGATATATGCGTGTGCGTGTGATCATGTGTGTGTATCCATATAATAAACAGTTTCTGTTTGCAGGTAATGCCCACTCACCTGGTGACCACTTCACCAGACAATAAGGCCTTCTTGGTCATTAATTCATATGTAATTGTTTCTGTTATGGCTATATAAGCCTTTTCCCTTACTTTAATCAATTGTTTGGGTTCATAATTGCAAAGTAACAAGATTCTGATGTGCCAGTCGCTACTTCTGAAAAAAATTGTAACAATAATTAATTCTCATGTTAAGAAAAGGAAAATAAATTTATTTAGTAAATATGGCTGACAAAATTCATCCCGTCGATATACATATATTTATAATGAATATCAAATATAAAATGTCTAAGAAGAAAAAGTCATACTGTTATTAAATTAAGGATGTTGCAGCTTATTTCTTAAAATAGATGCATCATCAATGCGGAAAAAATATGTTTAGTTAATATTGTATTACTCATAAATCATTGACATTGCAATTCATTCTTTGAACTTCAGGCAAGAAGGTCAATTCGTTAAAATAAAGAGTAAAATATACCGATCACTTTTTTATTTTATCTCAATTACAGAAACCTTCTCTTTATTTTGAAAACATATATGAACCTCCCTTATAGTTAAAACATATATTGCATAAACCTCCTTTTTATATTTAAGATTTTATTTCCATCCACCCAAACCATTAGTTGACCGTTAAATTTGATTTTAAATTATTTTTTTGGCCAAAATGCCCTTTTTTAACTTAATAATTATTTAGACATTTATATTTTTTAAAAACTGTTTTTATAAAATGAAAAAAAATAATTATTTTAAAATTTCTAATATGTTATAAAATTTATTAATTTTGATCTAAATCATAAAATTTTACAATTTTAATATTTTATCACATTCATTAGAAATTATTTACTTTGATTTTTTGAAATTGTAAAAACATATTTCAAATACATAGTTTTTGTTTATCGTAAAGTTTAAATGATATAAATTTAAAAGATTTTATAAATTATTTAAATTTATAATTCAAAAATTTTAAACACATTTTTGTTACAAAAATTTATAAACATATTTAGTCAAGTATATATATATTTATTAAAAAATTAGTTAAATTTTTAATCTAATCTTTGATGTTTATCTTAACTGAATGAAATTGATGTAACTGTAAAAATGTAATTTAAAAATTTATTAGAATGAGGGATAAAATGGTAAATAAAATTTATTTTAATATAAATTTCAGTTAAAAATAATATTTTGAGAATCTTTTTAGAATATTCCTAACGGTGTTAATAATTGGACTAAAACTGTATATTTTTAAAATAGAGGAAAGGTCTTTGTAATTGATGCAAACTAGAAGGATAGTGAAAGTATTTTACTCTAAAATAAATGTGGAATATATAATTTATGTCAACTTGCACTATTCATAAAATATGAATAATACGGGCCACTTTAAACTATATATCCATGGGAAAATTCTAGAAAAGGTCCCTCGAATATATGAAATCCCAGATTGGGTCCTGGAATTTCCAAAATGATAGAAAGGGTCAGTGACCCAATCTGTCATTTGTGAAATTAAGACCAATTGACAATTTTGCCCCTGACTAAGTGAGTAGTTATTCTCTACACAAATCTAGGTAACGTTTACACTGTTCTAGTGATTACAAGATTAGTTGTAGTTAATAATTACAAAATTAGTTGTAGTTAATAATAAGGTGCCTGATTATGAAAAAGTGAATAGTTATTCTCTACACGAATCTAGGTAATACTTACATTGTTATAGTGATTACAAAATTAGTTGTAGTTAATAACAAGACACCTGAATATGAAAAAATGAGTAGTTATTCGCTACATGAATCTAGGTAATGCTTAAACCCTTATAGTGATTTCTTAAATCATTGTAGTGAATGAATACAAATGAGGGCAAAATTGTCAATTCCTCTTGATTTGCCAAATGACAGATTGGGTCACTGACCCTTTCTGTCATTTTGGAAATTCCAGGACCCAATTTGGGATTTTATATATTTGAGGGACCTTTTCTGGAATTTTCCCTATATCCATTATACAAAAGATATGTCTAGTTCAACTTATAATTTATTCCCTCTAGTCCCTTTTATAAAACCTTTTCTTAGTATTTTTTTAAATTAAAAAAATTAGTTAAATTAAAATTGATTCAATGCTAATGATTTTTACAACTTTTCAAAGTTATCCTTAATGAAATTAAATCAACCATTTGGGACTAGTTTTGGTGTTCATAGAGTAATGAGCATTCCAAACTTATTATATATCTGGATCATTCAGATATGATTTGAATGGTCCAAATTTAATTTTTTTATTTTTATTTTTTAAAATAATTATTATAGAATCTAAAATAAAGATTACTCTTAACCATCTTTTTTTTAAAAATCATT